TGTAGTTCCCATGGGAGATGTACACGTGTTCCTGTAGGCGCTGGACCCCACTGAAGTGGGGAGATGTCAGAAGTTTTCAAAAACGTGCATAAAATCTCTTCTAGCTTGTCTGACATTCTCTGCCTCTGGAATCAAATCTGCTTTTCAGCTTCTTGCCAGTAAAGTCAATGTAACAATTTCCTCTTACTTAAAACTTTGTAATTTTACCAGCGTAATTTTTACAGAAATTCCTAGGGGGGTGGGAAAAAAGTTTGTCTCCTCCAAACCTTGATTTTCATGCTTTATTCATAATTTGCTGCATATATCAGTGTGGTTGGGAGGTTAAAATTGGTCACACCTGCTCAGGCTTTACAAGTATGTTATAATGCAAACAGACCTCTCTCCTCCTATGGGACATCTTTAGCACATGCCTCTGTATTAGAAAGCTGTAGTGCTTGTTGGGGGGCTGAAGTTAGGCTTTGCCTCTAAGGCAATGTGTGGTCCTGTACACGTGTTAGCTCTGAGCGGTCAAGAGAAAGGATTGGAGGACCATAGGGAAGGTGGGGAATGAAGGAGATGATGGGAAGGACGCAAGAATCTCTGCAAGGAGAAGAGAAGGAAGAGGGCTCATTATACAGAGAAGCAAATTTCTTTCATTGGGAGCTAGCTAGACTGATGGTCAAAATAATCTTTTTGTATTTTACCTTCTTCCTTTTAGAAGTCACCTTTCCTATCTATGTGTGAGGATTCAAATCCTTCTAGGCCAGGCTGAAAATTGAGCGACTCAATTTTTTTGCTGGTATTACAAGACTTTGTGTGTAGGGGAGATCCTGAAAGCCCAGCCAGCAATGCATACACCTGAAACTGAGACGAGTGTCATTGAGATGGGATGGAAAGAGCCAGCAGTTTAATCACATTGTGAGGCTGTGATTAAACTGCTGGGAATAAAACCGACAGATTGAGGGAAGACAGCCAGGACTGGCATATGTGGGATGGGAAAGGCTTTGGGATAAAGAATTGCTTGCTCAGAAACTTTTTTTTGTGGCATCCAATGTTAAATTGTTGCCTCCATTTTTTTTCAGCATTATAGTTAACTAAAAGTCCATTATTGAAGATATAAACTGAACTTGGATTTGTGACGTGACTAAGCCGTAGAGGCTGTAGAAGTATCTTACAAATGAGGGGTTTTGGGAAAGGCATGCATTGCATAGTGGAGGGTGAGGCCTCTATTACTCACATTACAAATCCAGGCAGCAGAACAGCAGACACTTTATCCTTTTGCAGTTTAGCTCCTGCTGGCATGGCCCAGGGCGTTATAAAAGTGCCTGCTGAAACAGCCGATAAGCGCTTCCTGTTCTCAGAAAAGGACAGTCACGCTATTGTGCGAGAGCCACGCTGCTGAATTCCTCTAGATCCATGGAAAGACGGAAAATTCGGCTTCTCACTGCATTAGCGATAGTCATGGGAATGTGGCCGCAAACTTAACTTGGAGCTGTCGATGAAACCAGTTCTGGACTGAGCGCCTGCATCCAAGGAGCTGTGAAAGCGATACGCCAGAGCTGTTCAAGTCAGCAGGGAAACCTCTGCCGGGCTTTGTGGAGGTTGGGGTTTTGTGAGCAATTCGAGGGTGGACAATTGCAGTTCTTCTGTGCTTCACACCTTGCTCTGCAGACAGCAGCTCGGGAAGCGAGAGGCCAACGGGTCTGCTGTATTATTATGTCCCTGGATTTCTGGTTTCTGGCTTTTGGCAAAGAAACACCAAGCGGTCCCTGCCACCCTTAGAGCAAGGAGGAGCAAATCCAGGAGTACCCCTGCTCTGGGGTGATAGTTATGTGCAGCTCCAGTCTCTGCAATTGGGCAGGGTCCTATGGGCCATTTTCAGGCAGGGTGATTGTTTGGGTTTTTTTGGTTGTGGTTTGGTTTTGTTTTGTTTTGTTTTAAACAGGGAGAGAATTAAAAACTTGGAGACCTTTCTTTTACGATCAGTAAAATCTAGCTCATTTAGTAAAGTGGAAAATAAAATGGAAAGCTTCATGTTAGAGAAGGTTGCTCATTTATTTATTTATTTATTTATTTATTGTTAGTCTTGTTGCTTTTAATTAGGTTCTCTCCCTGGTTTTGTGCTTTGGGATTCCTCCATGAGCTTGTGCCTGTACTCATAGCACTTAGAAAGCAAAATCAGTTTTCATTCTTGGGAAAGAAATGCTGACCTTTTTAAAGCATAACTTAACCAGGCTTGTATTTTGTGAATGATCTAGAAGGAAAAGCCTTACCTGTATTTTCGCTTTCCTTTTTCTTCCAATAATCCTCAGTGGGTGCATCTAGTGATCCAGAGATAACGAATCCCTTCTGTTTTCTTAGTACTCCGAGAGAGGATTTCTGGCAGGGGTGCGTTAAAAGCAGGATCTTGAGACCCAGTGATGAGGTGGCTCCCAGCCAAGGCTGAGAGGGGAGGTAGTTGACCGGCGCCCTGGGAAAGAGCAAGAGTGCAGCATGTGAAATGCCTACCGTTACCCAAGCTTTTATTTGCACTTAAAGTAGTTAAGTCTGTAATTGAAGTTACTCAATATTTGATTTGTAGAGATGGTGAGGTACTTAGGGAGGCACTGAGCAACAGGATTAGCAAAAGGCTTTGTCTGCAGAAGTCTGAATGAAAGTCTTAATTAAAACAACCATGTTGGAACTCAATAGAAACGGTAAGCATGTCTTTGAGACACTACAGTTTTTCTGAATTCTGGAAAATGCTGTGACATCTAGGTACCCTTTTGAGGAAAATGCTAGTTCATTTTATGGCAACTCTTTATTATCAATCTGAGATAGATATGCAAGGTAAAATAATGAGAAAAGTGATTTCTATCCATTGTTGTCTTATTTTTATGTTATTATTTTATTTCTTCTGCCCAAGGAGTAGCTAGTCTTTCCTCTTGAGGAAATGACTCTTGTGTCGCCTTATAGCAATGCCCCTTTGCCAAGAGGAAGCTTCTCTTTGAAAGAGGGGATGCTAATTGCTATAAAGCTGGCTCAAATGTGTGTTTAATGTCATACTGACTTGTAAGAAAACACATCTCCTCCAGCAGTCTGATTTGACCCATTTTGCTTTGACATTGCAGCAGATGCAGTCAACAATGCAGCTGGTTATGGATTCAGTGGAGTTGATGAGAGGGGCGCTTTCCGCTGGGACTTGTTGTCCAATTTAAATATCTGGAACATTGAGGTGAGTTAAAGGAGTGGCTGCGTTGCCATAATTTTAGAGAAATGGGCATGATAATGGGGAGAAGCTTTGCTGGAAGGAAAATAAGTCCATGCCAACAGGCTGTCCCTCTTTAACATGGAGCGGTTTTGTATTTTATCTGTTGGGCAGATAAAAAGCATCTGTCATGCAGCCTTTGTCATGCTCTGTATTCAGGTTGCATTTCTAAATAGTTTATAGAGGACTAATAAATGATTAATCAGATGTTTAATAAATGAGCAGTCAATTACTGTAGATTGTGGCTGAGTTCAGCGGGTCAATAAATTGCTTGCAGCTATGATTCTCCACCATCTGTGGTTTATTCTGTTTATTTACTTCTAATAGTCTTCCACTTTTGTAACCCAGTTGAGACGGGTGGTGGTAGTGAAAGAGGCCGCCAGGAGTAGGCATTGCACAGGCACTTGCAAGGGCTGGGTCCCTGCACATGCCTGGAATGCCTCTTGTAAATGAAGAAAAGCAAGGGTCGGAGAGATAACAGGTACAAACTGAGCAACCTGAATGGGAACTGGCAGGGCCACACAGAGCTTAGATGGCTGCTGTCTAGAGCTCCATCCAGCAAACCACAGTTTCTCAAAACATGTCACGCGCTTCTTGTGACTGGAGTATACTTTTAACATCCATTAGTCCTTTGTAAGCTGTTTGTTTGTTTCTCTAATGCAAAAGATGGCCAATGTAATTTGTTTGCCCCGAAGAATATTTTGTGAATGCCAGTGGGATGTGAAAATGTTTATATGTCTGAGACTGCTTTCTAAAGGCTTCTTTTCTTTAGAAGTAGGAGGAGCTTCCTCCTGTAATTCTGTAGTTATGATTTTAAAAGGAAAAGCAGATGAAAATAAGTTGACTGCTTTATTGCTGAATGATCCGTGACTAAGTGAATGTGCTTTAATAGCTCTTCTCAAGAATGAAAGAGCCCCTGTAATTCTTCATTGAAAGATGCCAAAACTGGAAGTATCATTATACACGCTCTCTTTCTCAACATCCTTTCTCTGTCTTTTTTTTTTAACCTTAATTAATCCTTAGTGTACATCTCTCCTTGAGCGGTAGTGCAGAATATGCCCAGAAATGCTTTATACTCCTCAATGATGGCAGCATCCGAGATACCACTCTAAGATCTTGAATCAATGTCTGATTCAGTTTTGGGACAGGAGATGATTCCTACCTTGATGGGCTGAGGCAGCTTCTGCTTGAATGAGGAAAGTGAAGTGCCGGCAATGATCTTTAGTCAAGCCAAATTAAGGAAGCAGGAGTCTTTGCTCCTCTCTACCCACTGAACTGTAGACCCCTCAAAACTTTTTTCCTTTACTGGTCACTGGGGCAATAGAGATCAGGGTGGAGAAATTATTTCCAGGAGCATAAAACAGAGTGCTCTCCACTGATTTGATCATCTGTGCAATGAGAAAAAGAGAGGCTACAGAGACCGTTACTTTGCGTGAGCCTTAAACTGTCACTTTATGCACCAACAACAATTCCGGGAGTTGAAGTTTAAGTGTGATTGTACAGTGCGTTTTCAGCAGGTATAGCCACCTGCATATGTAAAATTGCTTAAGAGTTGGGAACCTGAGTGCTAAATGTGGCCAGGAAATGACCTGATCTGTAGTAAAGATAAGCACATGGCAGGAGTTGTGAGGGCATTAAAACGTGACGGGGGCTAAACGCATGTGGGGGACTCGAAGAAAGCCTTGGCAGCATGCGTATTTTGACAGCCAATGACTACTTGCTCTCTTGGTAACATAAGAGGAGAACTTAAAGGATGCCAGAAGAGAGCGACAATATTAGTTGAAAGAGAAATTATATTTTTCTTGGCTTCTCTTGGTGCAGTAATGCAATTAAAATGTGGCACTACTGCATCGGGAATTGCTAATCATTTTAACTCTTTAAACACAGAGGATGAAGTGCTAGCCTTCAGGATTCTGCGTGGAAGTGCAAAAATATCTGCATATTCCCCTTGGAAACCTTTGCCTTTAATCCATCTTTTCAGTGTGTCCTTCCGTTCAGCTGATACGAGAAAATAATGTGGTGCCACTGAATCATGTCCCTGCTTGGTGAGGAGGTCCTCGGAGGTTTCTGTCAGTAGGCGAGGAACAAGGGGGAGCGGGGATGTGGAACCACCAGAGGTGAAGTTGACCAGGATTAGGGGAACTGATGCTGAATGGAGTCCAGCAGTCCCCTAAAACTGGGAGAACTGGTGCTGTGAGGAGGTACAGGTGGTTCTCCCAGGACCCTGGAGTCCACTGTGGTTTCTCACACTGGGCAGTGGGCTGAGAATTGGCTTCTAAATTTAGTCCTAAATTTTTTTGTCCATGTTTTTCAGTCTTCCCCCTCCCTTCTCCAAATAATAATGCATTTCTTCTAGTTTTTATAACGCTTTGTTTTAATAACACTCTAGGGAAGTCCAGACTGCGTAATGGCTGGCAAGGTATCTCTTTCAAAAATGAAGCTGTTTATAAACTGAAGGGAAGGCCAAGCATTTAAAACAAGAAAGCTTTTCAGATTTCCCATAATTTGAAAAATAACCAAACACTGTATTTAATTTTACAAAACAAAGTGAGATTTTTACAGCAAGTGCCAAGTGTTAACGGTGAGCAATCAGCCTAGTTAATGTCCCTCCCAAAACATGTTAGTATAATGATGGACTGTGGCACAGTCTTCACAACAGTTAGCTACTAGAATTAATATTTTCCGTGTACCACCTCTCTAATTTAAAATGCAAGTATTATTTTACAGGTTTCAGTGCTAACATTTCATGTGAACTTCTTTCTTAGACTGCGACAAGTTTTAAAATGTACATTGAAAACTGGAACATTCAGACAGCTGCCTGGCTAAAATGGTAAGAGTAATGAAACCGTAACGTGCTTGTGAGACCCAAAAATTCTAGATGGCCTGGAAAAACACTGACTGGTGAATCTCATAAATGTATAGCCTCTTGTCTGTCTTTATTTCCTGTGTCTGTAACAGTTGGTGGAATACAAGGGTGTTTGGTGCTGTAAAGTTTTATTGCTGCAAATGTAAGATGCCCACATTTTATATATGAGCAGCAAAGCCATAAATGAACTGTTCAGATCTTCCGTAATAAAAAGTAATAGCATTTTGATGGCATCTTTTAGGCTGCTGTTTGCCTCCATTATTCTTGCTGTACTGTTTCACTTTGCCATGTTATGTTTCCCATGCGTACTACTGCTGCAGGCGAGCCTTGTGTCACTGGGATTCAGTTCGGCTAGAACTGGAGAGAAGTCGAAATCTTCAGAGCCCCAGTGTAGTCCGGTTTGGAGTTACCAGAAGACGCTTGCTAGGGAGTCCCTGTTTAGGATATGGAGAAGAGACTTCTTATAGCACTGAGAAGATCTGATTTTAACCCGTGACTGTTAAGGCACATATAAATACTAGCAGAAGTCCAAGTTTTGTAGATTGAACTGTCTCGCTGTTGCTTGATACACTTTTTGGTATGATTAAAGCTCAGTGTACAGTCAATGTGAGGTCTGAAATGCAGGCACAGATTTACTGTGGTTATCATAACTATTTTCATTGTTAACCTCTTAAAAGTCAGTATCTACTATTTCTCGTGATTCAGATGAAGTTCCTGATAAAGTAGTGCATTATCTTGACTCGTTTCTTTGGAACACAGCATTTCAGTTAAACCTCAGATAGCCGAATAGACTGGTTAGTGTGTTCTTGAAATGGTATCATTCGCTTGCGTCTTTGGAGTATGATTTTGGGCTGCTAAAGTTAGCAGGAATCCCCTGCTTTGCAGTAGCTTACGGCACTCCCTGTTGTTCCCAGCATCTGCCAGATAACAGTGCCTAAAAATAGCTCTGTTCACCAGTGAAGGGTGGGGTCACGTCTCTTGTCTTTCAACTTGCTCTTGATCTGCCATCAGAGTTTTGAAAGGGTAGTGTGTGATTCCAGATAGAGGTATAAAGGTGAAAGAGAAGTCTTGCCTGCCTTTCGCCCCGCTATTTATTTAAATGGTATGAGCACCGGGAATATTTGTACAGGCGCTCTTTGGCTACTCAGTGCATAAAAGCACGCTTCCTCTTTCCACCTAACCCTCCATGTAAATGAAGGGAGAGTGCCTCATGCCCTCGTCTGTAACTGAGGAAAGATAAGACCGTTAAGAAAACAGAATAAGACCTTAAAAACAGAGAAGGGTTTGGAGCGCGGTGTCCATTGTTCAGTTATATTCAGCCTCTTCTTGTCTTGTTTTCATCTTTGCAGTGTTTGCTATGACAGAGCTCCCTGGTACCCTACGGCTTTAACGTTTATCCTGTCGGCCCTGTGGCATGGTATCTATCCTGGATATTATTTTACGTTTCTCACTGGAATCCTTATCACACTCGCAGCCAGAGCAGTATGTACCTTTCATTGTTCTCTTCTAAGGCCCATGCTAGATACTATCCAGCTGTCAACTGCGGGGACCACCCTGACATGGTCAAGCAGCTTGTCCCTGCTGTGAGCCCTCTTCCATGCCTTTGCGGGCTTGATGTTCACTGAAACTTTGTTCTGTATTGAAGCTGATTACAAAGTACCCCCAGCAGTTATAACCAGCACCAATTCTGCACGTGCTGCCATGCTGTCCCTGGCTGTCAGAAGAAACGTTGCTTGTGGGTGTACAGTTGGTAGTGCCACTGGCTATGTCCATGCAGCCAAATTAGCTTAGGATTCAAGGTCATGTTGGAGTCCAGACTTTTGCTAGGTCATGTTGCCTATATGCTGGCATGTAATTTGCTCTCGGCCCAGTCTTTCACAAGAAACTGTTACGGGTTGAGCATTAGCCCAAACTTGAACTCTTTCATGTGGATGTAATTGATGCAGTAAACTAGTCTCTCGGTTTACGGGCCTCATCTTGGGCAGAGCCACCAAAGACAGAACAGATTTTGTGTCTGACTGTTGTTAATTTTATCACTACTGATTTTTCGGGCTGAACCAGCCAGTTGTGCAGGGCTGGGAAGCACCACCGTTGTCTTTGAGTTTGACTGTGGGTAAATAACCATGTCAATTTGAAAGGTGAATTAAACTAGTGATCAGCATTAACAGCTATGGCTAGAGCAGGTTGCTGAACACACGGTCTTAACATGTGCTTTGCCTCTCATGAGGATTTCATAGATGTGAAGCTAAACCAAAATCTCTAGGGAACAGCACATGCTTGCAGGTATAAACACATATTTTTTCATTTAAAGTAACTTTGTTTCACCGTTAATAACCAGTAATAAATCAAAACCAGGAGGGAGGAAGATCAAATCATAACAACTCCCCTCCCCAAAGACACTGTGCCAGATACCCAGCATGAGAGTCTGCTCCCGTGATTATGACAGAGGAAATTGGGGGACGCTTCTCTGTTTGCCGCTGGTTGACTGTGGGACCTCGGATATGCCAGTCAATGCACTTCTGTCTTCCTTCTTACTCTCAGTGCGTTCTAACTGGTGCACATGCTTTTCTGTGATAGTAATGCTGATGATAAGTGGAGAGTCATACGCTGCAATGTGTCCGCATGACTTTGCCTAAGAAATGAATTTATACTATTTTCTGTTTACTTTTCCCTGACCTGCAGATAAGAAACAATTGCAGACATTACTTCCTCTCGTCAGTGCCTCTCAAGATAGCATACGACATTGTTACCTGGGTTGTCACTCAACTGGCCGTGTGCTATACTGTTGCACCATTTGTTATGCTGGCTGTTGAGCCCACGATTAAGTTTTACAAGTAAGTTCTCTCCTCTTGACTATTATTCTCCAGACCGGCACAGGCTTTTGTTAAATAACCCAAACCACACTGAAAATCAGTTGGCACTTCATCAAATTTTAAAGGAGTTCAAACAGGCTGTTTAATAATGTGTAAGGGGTGATTTTTGCACTCCTGTAACTTAATGAGATAATAATAATGCCAAGGCAGAGCACTTCACTTCTGCTTCTCAATCTTTCTGTGTCCTTACGTGACTTTTCTTGTATTCAGTTTCCTTTTTCAAAACAGTCAAGTCTCAACCATTAACAGTGGCCAAGGCTGGAGAGGTCAAGAATAACGTGAGTTGGCAGTAGGAAGGACTCAATGAGAAAAGACCAGGTTTCCAGCTGCCAGATGCGTAGAACAGGAGATGTGATCGGTCAGCAGGAGATAAGGAGGGTGCCTGACAGAGCATTACTTCTTGAAATGAGTTTGCTTTTCTTTTTGAAAATTTCCATAGGAAGTGAATACGTCTCTAGGTTCCTTAAAAATAAGAAAACACTGGTGTTGCAGAGTATATTGGATATAAAAATAATTTGAAATAGAGAAATTGAGAAAATAATTTGAAAAGGGAGACTGGACTACATTGCTTTACTTTTCTTTCATTCTACAGTGAACTGTCAACTTAGAGTAACAGGTTTTGGTTAAGACAGACAATTCCCTCCTCTAACATGAAAGACATAAAACTGGTAGTCAAGATAGCTGCTGTCAGTAAGTCTGTTTGAAGGGGGTTGAATTCTGACATTTTCTATTCCTGTTTCTTAAAACGTTTGATTTCAACACAGAAAACTTACCATATAAAAATGACTCCAAATCTTTCTTAGTTTCGGTAAGATGCTTTCCCAAGTACCTCATTAATATCTAATTTTTCTGTCTTTCAAGACAAAAGTAGCAAACAGCAATCAGAACAAAAAAGAGAGAAGAGACTAAAATATTAAACTGGTTGATAAATTTGCCCCATAAGTGAAGTGGTTTCCCTTTGTATTACAAAAGGCCATTCCATGTAGTAAATATTAATGTAATTCTGTGAGATTATATTGCTAACATCAAAACTACAGAAATAAATATGTATAAAGAACTTGCTAGCACTATGCCAGCTTCCATGAAGGCAGAAATGTTACTTTTACCAAAGTTCTGAACAAAGAAAATGATTTTCCACCCTTGCCCCAAGTTGGGTTATCACCTTAATGTTGTTTGCCCTAGTGATTTTGAACATAGTTAACACTTAAATTTAGAGACCGTTAAACAAGGAAATTTGGAGCACTGCACACCTAGCAGTAGTCTTAAGCACCTTACAAGGATATTAGAACTATGGTAAGAAGCGTAAATGAGACCATAGAAAGGTGCATCTCTGTGGTTAAGAGCTGGACCATACTGCTCCCAACCGTGGTCCTCCCCAAGCTGCCAGAGCCTCATGTAATTGGTTTAAGTATTTTTTATTTCTGTTCAATCTTGTGTATACCGAATTATTTGAAATAAACATATTTGATATTTAATAGGAGATCAAATTAAGATATCTCTGAGAAGTTGCCTTCAAAAACATAACCCTTCTGTAAACTTCATTACCTGACCTTCCGCAGTTAAAAGTTGAGTGTTTTGATTTATTTCAGATCTCAGCACTTGGAGTGAATTTTTTTCTTTCTGTCACTTTTTATTCTGATTTTTGTAAAACTTGTACAAGTTTTATGTCCTAAGCATGAAGGATATTTCTTCAGAATGTAGCCTTGTATACTCTAACATTAAAAGAGATGGGCTGAGTAAGTCTAGGGTTGAATTACGTGGGTTTATCCGAGCTGTCAGACTTTGGATTCTGGAGTTTGCCGAGTCGTTCCTTGCCTCATTACATCCACAGCAACATTTTCATCGGTGCTAGCGGATACCACATACATAGGCTGTGTGAAATTCAAGGGTGTATTTTTGTGCTTTCTAGGTCAGGTTCATACTTTCTGCATTCATCCCTTAGCACTAAATTCTGCATGGACTTACTGAGGTTGCACAATTCATGTTATTACTGACAAAAATATAATATTGTCTTTCTGCTTTTGTTCCCAGGTCTATGTATTTTCACATGCACATTCTAAGCATCTTGGTGTTGCTTGTGTTACCCATCAGACCTCAAGCCCACTCCATAAGAAAGCCTCAGAATCAGGCCATGCAGAACTCTGTTAAAAGCAAAGACAAATGATGCCTCCAAAGAAAATTGCCGATTGGGAAATCAAACTGTTATATTGGAAACAAACAAAGAAGAAGAAAAACGGGTGGGATGAGGGTCAAAGTAGAAGACATGTGGCGTTTCTATTGGTTATCTTAAAATCTTACGGAACAGGGCAGAAGGGAGCCTGAATGACTGTATTTCAAATTATTCCAGTTAACAGAGATTTTACAGGCAACGTTTACAGGCTCATAGGGCATTTTGATTTTTTTTTTAATAAATATTTTTATGAAGTGTTTTTATATATTTAAACTTTTTCACACAGAGGGGCATTTTTGCTCTTTTACAGAAATATACAATTATTAATCAATAATCTTGTGATTAGAGGGACAGGAAGCAGCTAGTAAAGACTTAGACCAGCTGCCTGATAGCCTGGCGCTGTGGGCAGCTGGCAGGGGAAGCTTTTCATCTCTTGGCTATGGAGAGAGATGGTGCAAGTAGAAAACTACAGAGATGGGGTTGCTCAAGGTGCTGGCGCTGACTTTCGCCCCGGCAGGGAGAAGAGGGGGCAGGGCTGTCCCTGGCAATCCCTAGAGCCAGGGACTGCGGCCTGAGCTGGGCAGCAAGGGTATTTCACATCCTTCAACGTGACACCTGCTGGTAATGAGGGCAAGACAAGTCCTTTGGGAATAGGTGTCTGGGAGCACTGGCAACTGGCTAGGCCAAAATCTAAAGCCAAGTAAAAGCAAAACAAAAAACCCCCCAACCTTTGGAGTAGAAGAAGGGACATACACCCTGTGATCTGTAGAGTTGTGCTTCTCTAATGACGCAGCTGGTGCTCATTGCTGCATCAGCCTTACTCTGCAGTTTTAGAGTGATGCAGCACTTCCACTTCAGTATCAAAATAATTGAGGAGCCCTGCAGGTTTAGTGTTTTAAAGCTTGCAGTGATGGGTTAAATCTGAAAAAGGTTTGTAATGGAGCAGACTGTTCTACTCAAAAACATCCGGTTTTGTGGAGGGGTTACTTCTCAGCAGGATAACACTAATATGAAACCTGAACAGTAATTATCATAGTCATAATAAATCATTCTGTACAAAATGGTGTGGTGTGATATGATTATCACAAGAGTCAAGACCAAGTCCTTGTATGATCTTGACATGGGACTTAGCCTGTTGATGCAAGTTTCCCTGCTTGTAAAGTCCTTGGCTTACAGGGATGTTGCGAGGCTTAATTTCTAAGAGGTGGTTGTGCATTGAGATAACCTGCTGCAAAATGCTCTGTCAGGTTTTTTTTATTTAATTTTTTTTTTAAATCCACTTACCGCAATAAAACAGTCTGGTACGACACATCAAAACCAACTAAAACATTTTTTTAAAATTTACTGTTTTCCAGGAATGTGTTTATCAGGATTTTGTAGAAGCAATTCCCTTGTTAAAGTACTGGTATTGCTTTATGATCATTTAACTGATGTGTGATTGAGCAAAGAATCTGCTGTTTACTGCATTCTGATTTTTGTGTCAGATTAAAATTTTGCAGAATCCTAATGTTTTGGGAAGAAGCAAATCGGTGAAACCAAAACAAGTTCCAAAAAAATGTTGTTGTTGGTGGTACTGGTATTGCTTTATGATCATTTAACTGATGTGTGATTGAGCAAAGAATCTGCTGTTTACTGCATTCTGATTTTTGTGTCAGATTAAAATTTTGCAGAATCCTAATGTTTTGGGAAGAAGCAAATCGGTGAAACCAAAACAAGTTCCAAAAAAATGTTGTTGTTGGTGTTTTTTTTTTCTTTTCTCTGGTGGGAAGTTTTTGTCCTGTGGCCACCTCATGATTTAGAGCATAGTTTGTGGAAGAGTTTATTTGGTAATTTATTTTGAAGGCGAGATGGGATTAAAAGGTTGATCTGAATAAACAAATTGCTTTGTGTCACCGCCTGGAATTATTAATGACAAACGTCTAATGTGAAAACGGGTGAATGGGTGTGAGATCCCTCACACTTGTGAGGGGAGATTTTCAGGTCTGCTGGATTTTACAGAGCAGCTGGGCTTTACATCCTGCTCCTGCTGAAATGGAGACAAGACAACCCCCGTTCATTTTCGTGGCAGCTTTGTCCTTAACTTGGCCAGTCATTTGTCCTCGTGTGTGTGTTCTCCCTGTGGCACCAGCCTCAGTTGCATCTTGGGCATCTAATGTTTCCCTTGAGGTCTGGCTGTGCCACCCCTGTTTCTTGTGGGAGGGAACCAGGGCACATCCCCAAGGAGGACGGGGGCTTGGGCACTGCTGGCCGTGGGAATCCTTGAGCTGAAGCCAGCCTGCATTTACCTCCCAGAAACTGGAATGAATTGCTGTGAGTGCTGGCAGAGCCAGCGTAACGTGCATCAACTCCGGGCTTCGGCAAGCCTGCAGAAGGCAAATGTTGCCAGCAGGTTGGCTTTAGCACTGGCTTTGGAAAATAAATGCACGCAAAGGGAGTTGTGGGTCTGTATCTGCTGCTCTGTGCCCTGTATCTGCTGGTCTGCAGCCCTTCTCGAACTGTACATTCAAGAGAGCCCAGATATCAGTGGGGTTTCTTTTCTAGTGTTTCACTAAGTGGAAGTTGCTTAGCTCTAATGCCATCAACTTCTGTTGTAGTTTCAGCTTCTACAATGTGATGAATTAGTCAGGGCTAGTGAGCAAACTCTTACTCTCCTGTCATGTTGTCTTCTCAGCCTGAAAACAGGAACCCTGGGCTTCAATGAGAACTGGTCATGTGGATTTAATATGGTATGTTA